AGTAAGGTTACAATGTGTTCACGCTGCCTATTACTCACTTAAAAAAAACTTCACGGGTACATCAAGCTGTAGGGCTATATCTTCAGACTGAAGGCAGCCCCTCAGAAGAGTCATGTCATGGCATGACCTCATAAAGCTTCTGTGGCCAATGATTTGCTGCTCAGCTTTGTAGGTAACAAAGTCATGAATCATCTGGAAAAACTGATTCATGGCAACAGTTCACAAAAGACTGATATTTACTCAAATGCTAACTTATCAACAAAAATGTACTTAGATGGTCATACTAGCCCATTACCACATTCTCATTTTACTAATAAAAAGTTGTGTGGGACATACATTATAATTATAAGATTACATGGTAACCATGGAATCAGAATAAAGTAGAATAAATACTCTAAACAAAATAATATGGTCTCATCTGTCATGCATGCATCTCTTATAAATCAATGTTTAGAATGACCAGTAGAATATTTCTCAGGCTAAAGTGACAACTGACAACTAGGGTGGATTTATAGGACATAAACTATTCCTGAGGTATTCTGAGATATAAGATAAGTAACTACCCCCAAACGGGACTTGTTGAAGGCACATGAGGAGAGGGGAAATGAAGTAGAAGCGGCTAGTTTAATGAACTCTTTCACGAATCTGGGTCATGTAAATAAGTGCATGACAAGATAAGTAGTTAGACTGAGGATATGAGACTGAGAAAAAAGACTTTTCTTTTTTAGGTTAGGAAAGACTTGGATGTTTTAAAGTTGTGTGTGTTTTTTTTTAATTGAAGTATAATTGGCATATAATACCCTATTACTTTCAGGTATACACCATGACTCAATATTTATGTACATTATGAAATGATCAGCCCAAGTCTAGTTACCATCTGTCTCCAAATGAAGTTATTAACTATATTCCCTATACTATACATTACATCCCCATGACTTATTTATATCTGAAAGTTTGCACTGTTTAATCCCCTTTACCTATTCCACCTGCCTCTCAGGTAGTTAACCTGCCTCTGTTAACTACCAGTTGTTTCCCCTATCTACAAGTCTGCTTGTTTTATTCTGTTCATTTGCTTTGTTTTTTAGGTTGCACATATAAATGAAGCCATACACAGTATTTGTCTTTCTCTGACTTCACTTACCATAATACCCTCTAGGTCCATCCATATTGTGGCAAATGGCAAGATTTCATTTTTGTTTATATCTGAGTAATATTCCACCATGTATATATGTATGCACACACACACATCTTTACCGTTCATCTATCGATGGACACTAGGTTGCTTCTGTAGTTTGGCTATTGTAAATACTGCTGCAATAAACAGGGGTGCATGTATCTCTTCAAATTAAGAAATTTCATTTTCTTTGGATAAATACTCAGAAATGGAATTACTGAATGAATGGTAGTTCTATTTTTAATTTTTTGAGAAACCTCCATACTGTTTTCAATGATGGCTACACTAGAAATATATTGAATGGGGAAAAGCTGGAACACAGGAAAATATTGATGATATAGATGAGAAAAAATAACTAACAAAGGGAAGTTCCTGAGAAGACAGAAAGGGATGCAAAATACAGGTACAAAGGAAACCTAGGCTTCACTGAGATGACAAAAAGATAAACTGAATGCAGATTAGGTTTGTGAAATTAAGGACAGGGCATTACAGGAACTCTCTTCCGAAGGCTGCCATTCTATCTTTGAAGTAGGTGAAGTCACCTGCTAAGTGCATCTGTGTGTGTGTCATCACAGACTTAGGAGAAGTAGTCAAGATTTGACCCAGGTGGAGATAAAGTTGCATTCCAAAAGGGACTTCTAGGTAATGGTGCAGAATCACAAATGGTTATGTTAGGGTTAGGTTACACTACTTTACAAGGAGATCCTCAAAATTCAGAGGCTTTTATTAAAAAGATAAGTTTATTTTTCCCTCATGTAATAGTCCATGGAGAATGCTCCAGGCCACTTAGGCACCCAGGTTTCTTCTATTCTGTTTTTCTGTTATTGGGTGTTTCCTCATCTGCATTGCTGAAGTTGGGTTGCAGGCAATTCCAGCTCTAGAGAATGGGAAAGACCTTGGAGGAGCATGTATGTAATATTTTAATGTCCAGGCCTGAAGTTGTTGTATACATCATTTCCACTTGTATTTTTCTGGTGAGAACTTAATCACTGGAGAGGCCAGGAAAAACAGTGTCAGGCCATGGGCCCAGCTAAAACTCTGTAATTATACGAAAAGGAGAAAACTGACTGTGGTAAAAAAATTAGTAGTCTTTACCCCAGCATAACTGTATCTTTTCTGTAATGATATATAACAACTTAAACATAGAGGGAAAAAAATGGACATTTAATGAGTTCGGTACAGTTTTCCCCTGAAACTAAAGGAGTAAAAATTTTAGGGTAATGGCAAAAAAAAAAGTGATTTGAAGTGCTAGGCCTTCACAATATCTAGGCTGAATAAGAAAAAAAAAGTATTCAGCAATCACCTACTGTGTGCCAGATAGTATTCAAAGTGCTCTAAGTGTACTGATGTGTTTAATAATCATAGTAACTATTTTAGGTAGGTAACATTATTCTGTTTAGTAACTTGCCCAAAATGACACAGTGAATTTGTGGCAAAGCCAGGCCCTGAACTGATCCAGAGGTAATCTGGTTCCAGGGCCCACATTCTTGACTCACTATACTGCCTCCATGGCAGCAGTTATTGTCTATTGAGTCCTTATGCTATTCAGGCAGTGTACTGCCATTTCATATGCATCGCCTAACTTTATCCTCGGCATAAATGTCTGAGATAGCTACTGTTCTATTTTACATTTAAGGAGACTGAAGTTCAGTTATTCAATAAAGGCGCATTCTTATAAAAGTGGAGAAACCAAGATTAAACCCAGATCTGTGTGAGCTCAAAGCCCATTTCTTATTGTTAAATATATAAATTTTTACTATTGACACAGATTTTTGAATAGTGAAACTCAGCTATTGTAAGTATATAATTCAGTAAGTTTTGACAAATGTAAATACCTGTGTAGTAAACAACTTAAAATAGAGCATTTCTATTATCACAGAAAGTTTGCTCCTGTTCTTTTCCATTCAATTCTCCACCCACAAAGACAACCACTGTTCTGAATTGTATTATCATATTTTGGTTGTATGTCTGTTCTTAAAAGTTATATAAATTGAGTCACATAGTATTTATTTTTGTGTATAGCTTTTTCATTCAGTGTATTTTTGAGCTTTATCCATGTTATTGTATATAACAGTTTATTCTTTTTATGATATATAAATATATGTATCAAGTTGCTTATTCATTCTTCTACTGATAGACTACTGACTTTTTTTTTAGTTTTGGGCTATGAATGAAAAAGGTAATATGAACATTAATGTAAAGTCTTTTGGTATACATACATTTTCATTTCTTTTGAATAAATACACAGGAGTGCCATTGCTGGATCACATAGTAAATGTATGTACAATATTAAAAGGAACTGCCAAAAAATTTTTTCAAAGTGACTCCAGATGCTCTGCATAATTTGGTGTTGTCGGTCATTTTAATATTAGCTATTCTAAAGGGTACCCCATGCTGCTTTTTAATTTCCCTGGTGACTAAAAATGTTCAACGCTTTAAAATGAGCATGTAACCAATCACATATACTATTCTGTTAAGTCTCTATTTAAGTTTTATACCTATTTTTAAATTGAGATGTTTGTCTTTTTACTTTTTATTTCCCGTGAGTTAAGTTTTCTGTCCTATGTATTTATAGCTCTTGCTCTGCTTGTATCTTTCATTTTCTTAATGATGAATTTTGAGAGTTGTTTTAAATTTTGTTCAAGTCTAGATTATTAACTTTTTCTCTTATATTAGTGCTTTCTGGGCCATAAGAAATCTCTACCTACTTTAAGGTCATAAAGTGATTCTCCTATATTTCTTCTAGAATCTTTATAGTTTTAGCTTTTTGTTTTTTAATTTTGTTTGTTAGTTTATTTTGTTCATTAGAGTCCACACATGAGTGAAATCATATGGTATCTGTCTTTCTCTGACTGGCTGATTTCATTTAGCATCATACTATCCAGGTCCTCCCATACTGTCACGAAAGGTAAGATTTCATTGTTTTTTATAGCCAAGTAGTATTTCATTGTGTGTATGCACCATAGCTTTTTTTGTCCACTCATCTAGTGGTGGGCACTTGGGCTGCTTCCAAATCTTGGCTCTTGTAAATCACACTGCAGTGAGCACAGGGGTGCACACATTCTTTTGAATCGGTGTTCTGTTCTTCAGGTATATTCCTGGAATTGGAATCACTGGGTCAACATATTAATGGCTTTAATGATTAACTATTACTGTAGAAATGATTAACTATTATTTTTTAAAGATCATTTATATTCACTTGCAAATTAAATGTGATTTAAAGACAGCAAGTCTAAACTTTAGAGAAATCTGTAAATTCAAATGTTTAAATTTCATCTTAATTTTGCTGCATTGTTTTTATTCTGCCTTAAGCTAACCATGTGTAAATGGAGTCACTAACTCTAAGTCCCTGTCTTGATGCTTACAACACATCAATTTCTTTGCAGCACACACTTGTTACACAATTTCGCCAGTAAAACAGGAATAATGATTGTAGCTACTTCACATGATTGTTATGTGGATTAAATAAGTTAACAAATATAAAATATCTAGAATAGTGCCTGATAAATGGTAAACACTTAACAGAAGCCTGTCATTATTAGTACAATTATGATCATGTGGCAGAATGACTTCTAAATTCAAGGTTTATTTAAAAAATGAAGTATTACTAGAAAAATAAACATATTATGGTAGTTTGATTAAAAATATAAATGACTCAATGTACTTGTATATTTTAACAATAATTTTTATATAAAAAAGCAAAGATAAGGGAAGCAGCAAATTTAAACCAAAAATAATGAAAAACGTAAATTAATTTTCAGAAAAAGTATAAATAAGCTTTAGAAGAAAGAACTTTATCTTTAAATTATTGAAATAGGGGGTGAGTATGGCAGGGGAGAGTAATGGAGGAAAAATAGGGACAAGTGTAATGGAACAACAATGAAAGTACTGAAATATAAAATTTATTCAAAAGCAGTAAAATAAGAGCATCTATGAAGTATGAGCTACATATAAGAAGAAAACGCAGCACAGTACCAAAAATCCCATTTTTCGTTACATCAACATCTTCTTTTAATTATAATTTTTCTCCCTGGAATAATGAAAAATATTAAGTTAATACTTAAAATATTCTTACATTGATTTAGTATTAAAAGTCTACTATAACAAATCAGGAGCATAATTTAAGGCAAGGGTGGGGAATTCTAAGTTAACTGAAATATGTGATTTCGAAAAAGTCAATAATAGGCCACATGAATGTAAGAAACAAATAATTATGGTGGGGGTGAGGAAGGAGTGCAATGTTAAATTAAATTGATTTTAAAAACAAAAAGGGAGACATAATAAATGTAAGATATTTAGCTATTGGTGTCACCTAATTCAAATAAGGGTTTAAGAAAGATAGACGGAAGACTACATGGAAAAAACTCAATGGAAAAGAAAGAAGAAAAATAGAGCAGGAAAGGAAAAAAATGAGAAAAAATGTTTGCACAAAGAAGAAGCACCACATAAAGAAGTAGAAAAATAGAGGGGAAAAACTCAGAAGACTAAAAATGCAAGTCAAATACTCTCATCATACCTTGGACCTTGGGCCAAAAACCTGAAAACGTTATGAAATCTCTAAGTATTTATTACCTGCATTCCTGCTTTATCTTAAGTTTCTTCTATCTCCCCCCACCCCCATAGCTGATTTTCCCAATTCTTATTTTTCATTTTATTGCATGGTATACAGACCATATTTTGTAAATTAATTTTCCTTTTAGAAATAAGATGAATGTAAATACTGCTTCTCACAACACTCTAACAAACTATGAATTTGCTATTCAATCAGTATTCACAACATTTCCACTGCTTTAATCCAGAGAGTTTCATTCAGTGTATTGTGGCAGGCACAGGGGTGTGCTGTGAGAAGTTTTAAAACATGCAATACCTGACTATTTAGTCAGGGCCACTGACCTCTTTTTCCTTGAATTGTCAAATTAAAAAATGACAACAGCCAACACAACAATAGCTGTTCATTGTGAATGAATAAAAATTATATCTATTTTTTGTCAGATTGACAAAAATACACATATTTTTTTGGTGTGCTGTAGAATTTTAGTAATTAGTTTATGTGTGTCATGAGATGAGAAAGGTTGAAATTCACTGCTCTAATCTAAAATGAAGCTTGTGAATGTCTTGAAATACTTCAAAATTGTATGTGTAATATTTGATTAATTCTGAAGCTTTTTCAGTCTGAAAGCAGAATACAGCTGTGTTAGAAGCTTTATTGTGAATGAAGTTGACAACATAGTTAACTGTTAGGAAATTTAGTATTTGGGCTGCAACCAAAAAAAATAACACTTATTAAGCACTTTTCACACACCAATTTCTATGTTCTGGACCAGTGGATTTTTAAGACTGCACTCTCTGAAGCAGGATTTGATTAGGTCCAACTGATGCCCTAAGCACAGCTCAACAGGCCCCTGGCCCTTCCATTTCTTACAATAATGAGTTTAAGGGTCCTTTACACAAATCGGCTGATGAGTTAAATGCTCTCTAGCTTCGGCCAGCTGGTTTTACTTTCTACAGAATTGAAACTCAGAGACTTCCGCCAAGATGGAGGCATAGGTGGATGTGCCGTGCCTTCTCCCACAACCAAGATTAGAGAAAACTAAATATTAGCAACAGAAAACACAGCCAGAACACGGAAAATTGAACTTTTCGGAAGTCCGTTAACAACAAATTCTTCAGCCTGACCGGTAAGGGGCGAAACCAGCGGCTGGCGGAGCAGGGTTGCACAGGAGGACTCGGCCAGACACACTCAGGCCCGCGGAATCCAGACGCAGGGTCAGACCTAGTGAGCGACCCAGCGAGCAACCAGGCGAGCGACCTCGGGGGAGACAGCCGGGCCGGGGCTGCGTGTTGACTGAGGTCGCGCATTTGTGCGAGGGTGGACAGGCGAGGAAGTGGGCGGTTGGACCAGGCCGGCAGGTCCCCACGGCAAGCGGCAGTGGAGGGCGCGCCATTTCCCTGCTCTGACCCCACCTCCACATACAGCGTCATAACCCAGCGACTCTGAGTGGCCCGGCCCAGGTGAACCACCTAAGGCACTGCTCCTCCGCACCCAGCTGTGAGAAGCGGCAGAGGGGGTCGCCATTTCCCCGCTCTGGCCACGCCCCCACATACAGCGTCACAACCCAGCGACCTGGGAATCCAAGCCGCCGCTTCTCACACTTAAAGGGCCCGAACAGACCAAGAATGGCGCAGGAGGATCTCAGAGCCCCAGAAATAAATCTAAGCGATGAAGAAATAGCAAAACTCACAGACGCACAGTTTAAAAAATTGGTGATCAGGATCCTCACAGAACTGGTTGATTATACGGACAAATTAGACAAATATATGAAGGCGAAACTCATTGAAATGAATGGAATTGCACAGGACACCAATAGCAATGAAAAGGAAACTGGGACTCAAATCAATGGAGTGGACCAGAAGAAAGCAAATAATGGCCAAACAGAAAAGAGTCAAGAAGCAAGAATTCAAAGAAATGAGGAGAGTCTTAGGAACCTCCAGGACATCTTTAAACGCTCCAACATCCGAATTATAGGGGTACCAGAAGGGGGAAAGGCACAGCCACCAGTGGAAAACTTCTTTGAACAAATAATAAAGGAGAATTTCCCCAATCTGGCAAAGGAAATAGACTTCCAGGAAATCCAGGAAGCTCAGAGAGTACCAAAGAAGTTGGACCCAAGAAGGAACACACCAAGGCACATCATAATTACATTAGCCAAGATTCAAATGAAGGAGAGAATCCTAGAAGCAGCAAGAGCTAAGGGGACAGTCACCTACAAAGGAGTCCCCATCAGACTGTCAGCAGATTTCTCAAAAGAGACCTTACAGGCAAGAAGGGGCTGGAAAGAGGTATTCCAAGTCATGAAATCTAAAGACCTACAACCAAGATTGCTCTATCCAGCAAAGCTTTCATTTAAAATGGAAGGACAGATAAGGTGCTTCTCAGATAAGATCAAATTCAAGGAGTTCATCATCACCAAGCCCTTATTATACGAAATGTTAAAGGGACTTATCTAAGAAAAAGAAGTTAAAGAAACATGAACAGTGAAAGGACAACAAACTCACAGTTATTAACAACCACACCTAAAACGAAAGCAAACTAAAAGGACAGCTAGATCAGGAGTGGAAACATAGAAATGAAGATCTCAAGGAGGGTTAGCAACAGGGGAGTGGGAGGAGGAGAAGGGGGGAGAAGGTACAGAAAATAAGTAGCATAGACAGTAGATAGAAAATAGATGGGGGGCAAGAATAGCATGGGAAATATAGAATCTAAAGGACTTGAGACACTAAAGGGGGGTCATAAACTAAAGGGGGGGGTGATGGTGGGGATGGGGGGTAGGGTGGAGGGGAATAAAGGGGGAATAGAACAACTGTAACAGCATAATCAATAAAAAAATAAATAGTTAAAAAAAAAAAGAATTGAAACTCATATGATGAGTCAGAAACAAATGTAATACCTGAAGATACCTCAAACCAAACTTTTAACCTTTACATTCACAATACTGAAGAAAAAAATTTTTTAACAAATCAAATTAAATTGGAACATGGCAGGTAAATGTAATTACAAAATATTCTATATAGGAGACCATTCTGTGTGGTGGGGGCCCAGCTCCCACTCAGAGATGCACAGAACCCACACTCACAGATAGGTTTCTCCCATGGGGAATCAGGCCTGCTCTGTACCTAGACTGCTACGAAACTTGCTTTTGCTAAAATTCCCTCACCTTGAATTGAGGCAGAAAATATTTACTACAAAGTAACTTCCTAAAATCCATGCTAAACCTTCCAAGGATGAGTGTAACCAGTTCACCCATTTTTCCCTTTGCATTTGCAAATATCCTTTTTCTGTGATGTGACTAGCAGCATTGTCTCCTTTGTTTTCTGTAAAAGGAAACCACCCGAAGCAAACCTGTGCCTAGCAAATGAGGACCACCATGTAATGTGCCAAGAAACCCAATAAAGGCCAGTCAAGGGCCGAGGCTTTTTCTACCCTTGAGAGAAAAGCTATGCTGTCCCTTTTCCTCCACCCGACTCAGGAGTCTGTGTGAATTTCTCTATCTCATCCATAAAGTGGTGGACCCCATGAGCTGGGGTCCACATCAATTCTACTCTAGTTAGGTGTGGCAGTTAAAGAGTTAAAGGCATGATAGCTAGGGCAAAAAAAAAACTGTGGTGCTCCACTTCCCTTGGGGTCCTAAGCTTGTGTTTATTTTCCTGAAAGGTTAATCCAGGGCTGCCCTGGAGTGTGCATAAGCAGCCATGAAACAGGGTGAGCAAGTAACTGGATAAAGATCAGACACAATCCTCTCTCAATCAAATAGATTACCTTTGCATCTGACTGACATATTTGGATTTCTTTATAACATTTCATTTAAACAATAGTTTCCTGGGCTTAAAAGAATTTAAAAATTCTTCTTATGAATCAGACACCAATGTAATGTTATACTTTAGTAGTGGGTGAATAAGCTGAGGACCAGGACTAGCCTGTGTCCAACCTGTGGCCCACAGGCTACACGTAGTGCAGGAAGTCTATGAATGAGGCCCAACACAAAATTGTAAATTTACTTAAAACATTATGTGATTTTTTTGTGATTATATGTCACAATGTATTTAATGTATAGCTCAAGACAACTCTTCTTCCAGTGTGGCCTGGAGACACCAAAATGTTAGACACTCCTGCTATAGATAATGGTTTTACAACCCAATTTAAGATATCTCATGTAAAATTTACAGAGCAATACACGTTCACTAATACAATGTATATGTAAATGACCATGAATAGTAAAACCACAGCAAGTCAAAATTTCAACAGTAGCAATCTTCACCCTGAATTTTCTCACCTTCCATTACAATAAAACCCAACAGTGGCCCTGGCCAGGTGGCTCAGTTGGTTGGAGCATCACCCCACACACCAAAAGGTTTCAGGTTCTATCCTGGTCAGGGCACATATGGGAGGCAACCAATGAATGTTTCTTTCTTGCATTGATATTTTTCTCTCCTGCTCTTCCTCTCGCTCTAAAAAAATGAACAGACATATCC